CTTAGTTAAATATAGTAATATTGGATATAATTTAATATATATAATAATAAAATGTCTGTTTGTCTCAGGGTTGGACAACAGGACGTGGACATCAAACTTTCCGGACACTTTATAAAGGAGATTCACTGTGTGTTCGTCAGTGAGCTCAATGAGCAGGGAGAAGGTGAGACGTCTGTCTGTCTGTCTGTCTCTCTCTCTCCCTCTCTCTCTCTTTCTCTCTCTCTCTCTATCCCTCTCTCTTTCTCTCTCTCTCTGTCTTTCTCTTTCAATCTGTCTGTCTGTCTCTCTCTCTTTCTCTCTCTCTCTCTGCGTGTGTTTATGTCGCCCTCTGGTGGTCAAAGTGCTTCAGCTGTGTGACTCTCTTTCTTCTTTTTCTGTAAAAGCTTCCAGGAAATCTGTCAGGTATCGTTTAACAGTCGCCGCTACCGGTTACCATGGCAACATCACCTTCCTATTCATACCCGTGTTTCTTGTGAGACCCCCGCCCCCCTACCCCCTCTCACTGTGTGTATGTGTTTATGTGTATGACTGTACACCCATCAGTCGTGTCCTGATTGTACACAAATTAAAATAAAGTTGTTTTTTTTGTTCTGACTCTGTGGAACTCTCTCTGCAGTGGTGGTCATTCTGGAGCCATTAGTTGGAGCGGAGACTTACGTTAATGGGAAGCAGATCACTGACGCAGTCATCCTCAAACAAGGTAACTACACTCAATGATGGTTACCCCAACAGGGCTAAGCCATCAATGCTGCTCCACAGGCCGCCACACTACTGAGCTGATAAAAACAATAACAACATATGAACTTATAAAAATCAGTCAAATTTTCACGATGGGCTTAGCATTTTAATCAGCATCATCCAAATGCTATTTCGCTTGCAAACACGATTTGTGAGTTTATTTTATTTAACAGAAACTGAATTTCATAGTATTTCTAGCATGAACTGTTAGAGAAAAAATGACAGAAAAAAGTGTAAAGAATCGGAAGAATTTACTCAGAGCTGTATATATTTATATATGAGCAGTTTCCTTCACTACACCTGATTTCATTACATTGTTCCACACGTTTGTCTTCGGAGAACGTCTAACATTGTCTGTCTGTCTATCTTCGTTGCTAGGTAACCGCATCGTGATGGGGAAGAACCATGTGTTCCGCTTCAACCACCCGGAGCAGGCAAGGCTGGAGAGGGAGCGCAGCGTGACTGCCGAGCAGCTGGGGGAGCCAGAGGACTGGAACTACGCTCAGAAGGAGCTGCTGGAGAAACAAGGCATCGACATCAAACTGGAGATGGAGAAGAGGTAGAGACGGAGGATGAGTGACCCTGATGGAACACACTGCTCTGTCATCCACATCATCAATGAAACAGAATTTATTGTGGCTGTGCTAAAGATTCTGGAACACAAAATAGGAATTAAACTGCGTGTGTGTGTGTTTACAGGTTGCAGGACATGGAGACTCAGTATCGTAAAGAGAAGGAGGAGGCTGATCTGCTGCTGGAGCAACACAGGCTGGTACGTGTCTGTTAGGGTGGAGTTGGGGTGGAGCACAAAATACCTGACAGTGTTAAACCTGTGTGTGTGTGTGTGTCTTCAGTATGCTGACAGTGACAGCGGTGACGACTCGGACAAACGCTCCTGTGAGGAGAGCTGGAGGCTGATTTCCTCCCTGAGAGAGAAACTACCTGCCAACAAGGTACAAACACACACACACACAAATAACAACAGCTGAATTGACTGTGACCAGCTCTGGTTTGCAAGATCTGCAGCATCTGGGTCCTTAAGAGTTTTTTGAAAGTTTCGAGATGATGACATCCTCAAGATGTGCAGCGCAGTGAACCAGTGACAGGTGGGGCTTTCTATATGGTTTCTCCATGGCAACTGTGTGGGTGTCACCTGTGTGTCTCCAGGTACAGTCGATCGTGAAGCGTTGTGGTCTGCCCAGCAGTGGGAAGAGAAGGGAGCCACTCAGAGTCTATCAGATCCCACAGAGGAGGAGGATCAGCAAAGACCCCAAACGGGTCACCATCGAAGACCTCCGCATGCAGGCTGTCAAAGAGATCTGCTACGAGGTCACTCACACACACACACACACTCACACACACACACACACACATAAAGAAAAAAGTCTGTATTAAATTTAAAATAATACTTAGAAATATTGTGTCAGTACATGGTTAGCTTAGCCTAGCATAAAGACTGGAAACTAAGGGAAACTGCTAGCATGGCTCTGTTACCAGCTTGTCATATTATTATTTTGAGTCTTTTTTTTTCTGATCCACAAATAAATTTGGTAATTTTCCTAAAATTAAGCAATTTGTACCCCTCCCTCATCCCAGGTGGCTCTGGGAGATTTCCGTCACTCCCGCCAGGAGATCGAGGCGCTTTCCATCGTCAAGATGAAGGAACTCTGTCGCATGTACTCCAAGAAGGACTCCAACGAGAGGGAGAACTGGAGGGCCGTGGCCCAGGACGTCTGTGACACCGTGGGCATCGGAGAGGAGAGGAGTCCCCCCACAGAAGAGGGGGGAGGAGGAGGAGGAGGAGGAGAGACGGGGGAGGGAGGAGGAGAGAAGGGAAAAGTGTACGACCTGAAGGCTCACATCGATAAACTGACAGACATTTTGGAGGTGAGTGAACAAACAGATGACTCAGAACTGATTGATAATCAATAATCACCCTCACATGACTGTAAGAGACAAAAACAATCGAGGAAGTCGCTTTAGACCAAAGTCACAGAAAAAAAACAAGTTGACGAGAAAATGAAAATATTGATCAAATATTCACAAAAATAGTTTTTTAGTTAATGACCAGGAGGGGGCGCTACAGAGTCTACACAAAACTAAATCATAACCCCCAGAGTTTTCAAACTAAAACAAAACCAGCAGCGTTTACAAAAGTCTCTGATTTAGAGGCTGGAAAACAAGCAAGAGTAAGAAATGTTGATTATCAGTCGTATCAAGTCGATTTTCATGTGAGTCCAGTGTAAAATAATATGAATATAATATTTTATAATATAATAATTTCATGAATCAAATCAACGGTAACTCTCTGATTCCCCCAGGAGGTGAAGCTGCAGAACAACATGAAGGACGAGGAGATCAAAGCTCTGAGAGACAGAATGATCAAGATGGAGAGCATCATACCTGTGCAGGTACGCCCACTCCTCAAGGCCCGCCCCCTCAGCCTCTGCTCTCTGAATGACCTGTATCTCCCTCTGGTTTCCAGGACGACGACGTGAACGGAGAAGGAGAGGAGTGTAATCAGGGAGACGGGGATGAAGGCAGTGGCGATGTCCCTAAACAGCCAGAGGTCAGAGTTAAGCGGCTAATGGACGAGGACCCGGCATTCAGGAGAGGGCGCCTCCGCTGGCTGAAACAGGAACAGCAGAGAATCCTGAACCTGCAGCAGCAGAACATCACCAAGAAGCTCCGAGGACAGAACCAGAACCAGGGTCAGTGTGTGATGTCATCTCCCTCCCAGCCCCCCAGCCCTCTGTGTGTGTTTGTGTGTTCAATCTCATGACTCTGTTGCCCCACACAGGTCAGAACACGCCCACTGTCCCTGTTCACCTCCCAGGGACTGGACGCTTCATCCCTCCCCAGGAATGCAAACTGAAGTTTCCCTTTAAGAGTAACCCTGCCCACCGGTTGTCATGGGGACCAGCCAGCGCCGCCCTGCAGGCCCTGGGTCTGGGGGAGACCGGAGGAGATGGAGGGGAGGAGGGGGGGGGAGTGGAAGGTAAAACTTCTCCGTCACCTTCTCCTCCTCAGGGTCACTCTCCTGCTCTCTTGCCCCTCCCCTTCCAAGCCCCACCCCCTCGCATGCGCACCCCCAGCCCCCATCGCGCCTGGCAACAGCGTAATCAAGGCAACCCGGGTAACCAGGGTAACCAGGGCAACCAGGGCGGCTTCCACTACCATCAACAGGGCAACAACCAAAACCACCAGCGGCGCTACCGCCGCAACTCTTTGGATAGCTCCACCCATGGCAACAGTAACTACGACAGCAACCAGCATCACGGTGGCGATGGCAATGGAGGCGGCGGTCACCAGGGACGACCAAGACAGAGGAGGGGGGTGTCACCAGGGCCTGTTGGGGAGTGGGGAGGAGGTAGAGGAGGAGGCGGTGGAGGGAGAGACAGAGACGGAGACGGAGGCTTCCATTTTAGTCAACGCCAGCAATATCAGTTTCACCACCACCCCTACTACAATCCCCACAATGCACCATTCCAGCCAGGACCTCACCCTAACTACCACAGCTTGCCACGCTCCGGGGTCCCGCCCCCTCCCGACATGCTGATTGGGGTGGGGCCGACACTGCCTGGGGGGTGGGGCTTCACCACTCCTCCAAGGATGAGACGACAGTTCAGTGCACCAGACCTCAAACACAACAAGGAGACGCCCATCTGACCTCTGACCTCCAACACATGGACGACTCTGATTGGTTGCAGGACATAGGGCGCTCCTGATGCTGTAGAGATGCGTGTGCGTGTCTGTGTGTGTGTCTTTTGCCGCACTTTCCTAGACTGAGTCAAACCATCACACACATCCTGTATCTTCAATCCTGCTCTGTGTGTGTGTGTGTGTGTGTGTGCGTGTGTGCGTGCGTGTGTAGCTTTTACGTTAGCACAGGTTAGTTGTTGCCATTGCAACACTTTCATTTTTTGCTGTTAGTTGGGTTGTCACACAAGATGGAAGTTTATTACGTTATGAGTTTTATTGGTTTTATTGATATCGATTGAAGTTGTGGTCACGAGGTGCTACTGTGTGAGCTCCTGAGGCTAGCTCGTGTTAGCAGAAGGTTTTTTTTTTTGTGGGTTGGGTTGAGTTTCAGGGCAGAGCGGATGTTTGTACTTGCACACACTTCAGTTTTAGCTCCTTTGTTTTAGCTGCTGTTAGCCCAGGAGGCTAACAACAGCTAACTAGCCTGGTTCAGCCTGCTTGTTCTGTGTTAGCTTGGGCTAGCCAGTTAGCCTAAGCAAGAAGCAAGGGAAGGCTCTTTAGCTTTTCAGGCTAATAGGTAGTGAAATGCTACACAAGCCCAAGTTTAGCCTAGCCTAGCCAAGGCAGCATTCATGTTATATGGGAATTACAGGTTGTACGACTTTGATTTCAACACATTGAACTTAGTTTAATTTTACATTTATTTTATAATCTGTTTATGAACTTAACAGAAATATATTTGTCATGTTGCACCATTGAGGAGAGCTAGAGCAAGTTTCGCATTCTGAAGAAAGACACTAATGTGGTTCTAACTTTAAAATGAATGAAAGTCAAATCGTGAGTTGAATGTTCTGGGTTTTTTTCCGTTGTTGAAGTGGAGGTCGTACGAGAGCTGTTCAAGACAACTTCCCCCTGAAGTTTGTTTCCGTCCCATGTGACTTGAATGCTGAGTCGCCAAGTGCTACAAACCAAAGAAAGCTGCTGTGTGGCGCCTCCTGCAGGTGAGCTGACAGACACACTGCTGTACTGAGAGAAGGGGTCGAGGACGTTGTAAATGTTGATGTGAATTGCACGCAGAATCGTTTTAAAGCGTCATGTGTGTATATTTGATTTGAGTTTTTATGAAGATGAATCTATTTTTAAAAGAACGCTCACGGTGAGTTCACTGTCATAGGCAATCGTTGGAAAAGCAGTAAGTGATAGCTGATGTGCGATAAAGTAATCATCATGGATTATAGTTTATGTAAGGCTGTGAGGAGGGAACTCTGGGAAATGTAGTCAGAGAGAGGAGGTGGAAAAGAGAAGGCACAGAATGAAGAGAAGGAGATTTTGTTTTGATGCAATGTTTTTAAAATATTGAGTGACAGGAGGACTAGTTCCTTCATCAGGACCTGACACTACTTCATATTTAACTTGTCCTGAAGAGACGAGGAGTGAACACTGACTTCCTGCTACGACAGGAAGATGAAAACTGTGGCTTCCTCTCGTTTGAGTCACGTGATTTTACATTTAATGTCACTTTAAAGACTGATTTTTTATTTCAATATAATGACCGGAGATGACAGATATTTGTTTCCAGCTGAGTTCGACTGAGCTTTAACAGACTTTTTTTGTTTACCTCTGTAAATAACAAGAATTTTCATTATTGATGAATCAATAAATGTTGAAAACAGAGTAAAATAAAAAGGTCTGAGGTGAAAGTCGAAAAACATTTTCAAAGTGAAATAAGACGGAAAAGAGCTGAATTGATGAAATGATATATGACGTTAAGTTGTTTCAGCCTGAAAAATATTTGCAGTGGTCAAGTTTTTTCTGCTGCGTTCCCTGCACCTCTGAAATGTAGGATGTTGTAAAAACAGCCACAAATTTTCACCTACCTGGGTCGAGCTGAACGTAGCCGTTGAGTTTTAACGTCCCGCAAAGGACAAGTTAATCGTCAGGAGGGGCTGGGCATTAAAACCCCACCCCGACAAAGAGTAAGGCATTGTGGGAGATGACGAGTGGAGTTTTTGTGCTCCGTGACTGTAAAGGCCTTCTCACAAAGAAGGTAGGAACCAACCAATGGGAGCGCTCCCTCTGGCCGGGAGGTAGTTACCACAATAATGATGACAAAAACACAAGAACTGATTGTGATTGGCCCAAGAAGCGTGACATCAGCAGATCTTAATTTCCACCATGTTTCACTCTGCTGTCTCTGGTATCGTGGGACAATCTGGATGACCTGTTGCCGCTGCCGGGCATGATGGGAAAATATGTTTTCCTATTTGTTTATGATTTTTCAGTTTTGTTTTTTTTTATTTTCCAGTTTCCAGCTCTGGCCTCTGTTTGGCTGGTTTGTACTTTTTCTTTTTGTGTATTCATTTCTTTCGGAGTATTTTAACCCCGCCTCCATGTTTGTTTTTTGCTTCATGATGTCATCATTACTATTATTGATATAATTATGAAGTTTTAAGTGTCGTTAATGTTGGGTTCTTGCTGCTAAAGGGAGATTGTTCACCCTCATGCAAATGTCTGTGTGCATGTGTGTGTGTGTGCGCATACCGTGTGTGCGTCTGTGTGTGTGTCTGTGTGCGCGTTTCCTGGTTAATTTAGAGTCATAATCTAAAGTTTGTTTTTCTTTATAAAGCTGATTTTATTGTTTTTCTTTTAATTGTTTGTTTTTTGGAGTTTAAGGGGGGGGGCTGGCGGTTGTAGGAAGCCATCACCATGGCAACTCGACTCAGCAGAATTCCAACCTCCGAGCCACATGATCACAGCATGAACACGGACATGGACATGACATCACGGTGTAGCCCCCCTCTATTGGCTCGGTTGTTTGTGTGTCTGTGTTGTTGTATCAGGAACCAATCTCAGGCTCTACCTGCAGACAACATGACGGCAATAAAGTATCGACAAACACGACTCCACTCGTGCTTCAGTGCTCTTTCTGTTCACTTTCAATTAGCACCGGCTTCCTGTGGCGAAGCGAATCGCAGCGTGGCTTCACGTTGAGTTTAACTTTGTTAAATTTTGATCTGCTGATTGTCTTCACATTTGTGTATGTGTGACCACATGCGTTTCCTTTTTCTGTGATTGTTACTTTTTGAAAATGAGTAAAATGTTCAATACTTTAAAAACCTTCACCTCTTTGAAATTAATCTACTTCTTCAGACTTTGCCCTAAAAACTTAATTCAAATTTAATACCAGATACTACGATATCTAAACTATTAAATCTTTAAACACTTTCTCGATATCACATTTGTGTTTGTTAAAGCTGCCTCGCTCCATCTGTCAAACTCTTCATTTGTATCATGAAGAGTTTTCATGAAACTTTGTTCTGAGTCATCGGTTAAGATGGACAAAGGTGATTAAGACGATGAAACATATTTGGTTTACTGATTCAACAGGTTTCCCTATTTTTCCGTGATGCATTGTGGGATACCGAGTCTCAGTAGGTGTAATAATTCTCCCTAAACCCGGGAACAGCTCGACAGTGTGAAGTGTCGCTGTCGCCAACAGACTCTACTTATCTCACTTCCTGTCTCAGCAGCTGTCAATCAAACAGATACTTCCTCAGCTTCTCCTCACTCGGACTCAGTGAGTCGTTCAGAGTCTTTCTCACCATGCAGCTTGTCCTCCTTCTCTGTCTTCTGTCCCACTTTACCAGGGTTACAGCTGTGGCAGATTGTCACAGTGACAGGGACAAGGACCACCGGCCCAGGGTGAACTGCACGGCGGCCGGGTACAGCAGTATCCCAGGGGAACTCGAACCCACGACCAAGGTAAACAAAAACAGCTGCCGTAGAAAGAAGCTAATGTTTCTGTTGTGACTTCGGAGCAGAAAAAAATTTCAGGATATTCAGACTTTAAAATCTGATAGAATACCATTCATGTGAGGAATTAATATTATAAATGATGTAATTTCTAAAAGTAAATTGACAAACGCTGCTCAAAGAGACTAGTGTTGCAGGTGAGTGATGAATTCACTGAGAAAAAACAAAACTTGAGGCCTCGTCTTGTGGACATAATTAAATTATCTCTAGAAACTCTTATTACAAGAACAGATGTCTTAAATATGAAAAGATTAAATTATTATTTGAAGAAACTGTTTTCCTCAGAGGAAACATGAACAGTTTTAAACATCTTGAAGCAGACGAAGACCACTGTACGATTTTATTTGTTAGCGATTGTTACAAAAATTGTCTGCAATTAAACTTCACTGTAACACAGAGAACAATGATGATCCGTGTAAAACGACTAAGTGCGATTAAACGTTCTGCAGCTGTGAGAAGATAAAACAACTTTAAGATCCTTGACTGGCTGAAGTGTTTGATTGACAGGAGGAGACGACAGCGGACACACAAGCTTCCTGTGTTTGACTGATAAGACAACAGGAAACGGAATATTTTCTTCTCTTTTTTTTAGGTTCTGTTATTCCCCAGAAACCTGTTCTCCAGTTTGTCCTGGTCCTCCTTCAAGATTTTTACGGACCTCTATGAGATCGACCTCACAGGCAACCAGGTGTCCGTCTGAATTATTTTTATCAAACTCAATTGGTAACGTTGACGCCACTTCATCAGTATTAAATGATGTGTTTCGTGACTTCTTGTGTCTCCAGATTCCAGAGGTGATCCCCAGCGCCGCTCCCATCCTGCCCACCCTCAGTGTTCTCCGACTGGGTTGGAACCGCCTCAGGTCCATCCCTGATGGCTCCTTCACCGCCTGTCCTGCGCTGACCGAACTCCACCTGGACAACAACATCATCAACGCTCTGAGCAACCACTCCTTCTCTGGACTCAGTAAACTGGAAGTCAGTGAATTAGCAAATAAACATGTGTTATCAGTGTGTGAGCATGTAGTGCAATGTGATCAAAACAGTGTTTAGAGATGAGAGAAAAGCTGTTGTAGTACCCCTCCGCCATTCCCTCAAGGCGTATTTGAGATCATGTTCAAGAAGCAAAAAACCTTGACCTTTGACCAAAGTTGATCCATGAGTTGAATAAGTGAACTTTTGAAAGAATTCTCTCTAGTTGTTTTAAAAATAACACATTCACAAGGGGGGAAAAGGAGTTTATGAGATCACAGTGACCTTGGACTACCAAAATCTAATCAGGTCACTATCCTGTTCACAAGAATAGGACATGTCCTGAAAACTAATAAGAGTATAATAAATAAAAGTATATATAATCGCCTTTTAGATCCTGGAACTGTCGTCCAATCATATCAAAGTGCTTCCTGAGCTCATGCTCCACCCCGTTCCAGCCATAGAGACCCTGTATCTGGAGTTCAACCAGGTGAGAACACACAACAAGAATTCTGCAAATATGTCCAATAAAGGTGGTAAACCAGGTCAAAACAGCTGTTCATTTTCCTGCCTGTAGGGGGCGATTGATGGCGTGTCTAAAACTGCAACAAGTGTCCTTTTTCTTTCAGATAAAAGTGATGCCGAACAATTGGTTTAGCACGAAGGAGGATGTGCCATACCTCTATCTCTCAGCCAATCCCTGGGTGTGCTCCTGTTCCCTTCAGTACTTGCACAAGTACCTTGATGACTATCTCAACATCTACGTCCGCGATGGTCCAATTATAAAGATGGAGGAAGAAAGTGTTGTGAGTACCACAAACAAACGAGTAAAGAAAGATGCTGTGAAAAGAAGAACATGAATGTGTTGTGGTCGATTCTTAAAACTGTACCCAAGCTTTATCTAGTCTTGTATTTGCTGAGGTTTAGTTTGTGGTAATATCGCCATCTGTTGTTCATACATGGTTAGGACAGTTCAGTCTTGGTAAATGAGCTCCTGTATGTTGGGGTCTTGTTGAACATGATCAGGTGTGACCGTTAAAAACAGTTTAACCTTCGATCAACATCCTAAAACCTTTGGAACTGATGACAGACATTTGCATATTTGGTTGATGTTGCTGTGACGCGTGTTTAAGCTCCAACTGGATTTTGTTTTGGCATGCTGTGGCTGATTTTGCGATGGTTGTTGTGTTTTCACAGATATGTGATTCTCCACCGAGGCTCAGAGGTCAACCACTGCTGCGTCTGGAGGAGGCTCTGTGTCCGACTGGTGACGAGGAAGAAACCGACTCTCATGACATGCAGGCTACTACTGCTGCTGTTGCTGCTTCCTTGACTGTCACCAGCATTTCCTCTTCTCCTGCTACCACCCCCACTGCTACTGTCACCCCCACTATGGGCTTGGTACAACTCCACACAGTGTACCACAGAGTAGTCACAAAGTCCTGGTACCAAACTTTCACCAGATTTTTTGAGAAGTCAAGCCATTCGGTGGAAGAGCACACAGTAAGGGGATCAATGTTTGGGTCACATCTTCCTTCTGAAAGTCCTGCGATCATGTCAACGGCTGCACCCATAAAACCATGGACAACTGAATCGTTACCTTCAACTGTTACATCAACCACTCCAAAACTGCAGCTAGTCACGACCCCTGCCACCACTGAGGCAGCAACCACGCCAGTCTCCTCCTGGGTATTTGACGGGGCTGCCGGTGGTGAACGTCGTGATAGAATTGGTTTGGTCAGAGCTTCAGGAGTATACTGCTTCTGGCTTTTTGCTGTGTGCGTGCTGCTGTGTGCTGTGTCGGTGTTGTGCATATTTGCAACTCTGGCGAGATTAGTGACCTGGTACAGGACGGTGTACAAGCCTCTGAATGTGGCACTGGCAAGACAGGGGGTGTGTGGTGAGGGAGTGAAGCTGTTAACGTACAACAGGAGGGAGGAGAAGGAAGTGGCAGGAGGGGGAGGAGGAGTGGTGGCACTGTATCGCTCTGTTCTTTTCGTCCACAGAGAGGAAGAAGAAACTGTGGGAAGGGAGGACAGAGTGAGTGAAGCTGACGGAGCAGGACAAGGAGGGAGGGAAAGACTTCTCGTCACTCTGGAGCCGACGGGAGAAGAAGTGAAGAGAGAGGATGAAGGAGAGAGAGGAGCGATAGAGGAGAGGGGGGTCTACCGGAAGACGCTGTACCGTCTGTTGAGCAAAGAGGAGGCCATATCTGGATGGAGAGATGTGATGGAGGAGGAGTGTCGGGTCGCTGCAGAACATGGAGGAGGTGGTGGGGGAGGAGCTTCTAGGAAGCGCTACAGTGTGATTCTGAGGGAGGAGAGGGGGGAGGAAGGGGGAGGGAGGGAACAACTGGAGTGGGTGGTGGGTGGTTGGGAGGTGAAAGGAGGACGGGGAGGTGGCGAAGGGACGGGGCCAAGGAGCAGTTGGGGGGAGTGGCTGGCAAACTACTTACCCAGCATGCCCTGGGGGGTGACCATGCCTCCTGAAGGGGAGGCAGCTCAGTGATGTCACATGAGGTTTTTTTTTTTCTCACTTCATTATGATTCGTGTTTATTTCATGTCTCTGAGGAAAAACATGAAAAGTATGTTGATGTACATGTGATGTTTAAGATCATGAATATTAATTGTCTTCATTAATCATTTGAATTTCTCCACAGCTGCACACGCAGCTCACGTACATGTGACGAGCCGATCATGCTTCTGTTTATTAAAAACATGTTTGTTCACAAGTGACGACTTTTGTTTTTGTTTCTACTGGTTGGGTTTGTGATTGTTGACTGTTCTTCTGCGACATAAGCTCTGTCTCAATTCAGGGGCCACATCCTGCGGTGGACCCAGTCTATGCAGCTGACGTTGAGTAAACCATGACGGCCGAACCGAAATGAGACCAACTGGTCTTCTTATTTGCATCACCTGCTTGCCCCGCCCTAACAGCTGTCACCTAGCAACAGAGCTAAGGACGAAAAAAATGATCTTGCAGATTTAATCTTTTAAAAAATAAGAAATGTAATTCTTCTGAGGTTTTTCGGCCGTGGATCAGACACAGCTATAGACATTTAAAGATGGGAAACATGACGACTCCTCGGTGAAATCATCTTGATCGCCCCCTGGTGGCTGGCTGCAGTATAGGCATTTTCCTTGTGGACATAACATGACCACAAGGAAAATAAACATTTATCCACTTTGCATTAAATAAAAAACACCTTCAATGTTGTGTCTGACTCATTATTACCTGATCTTCTGCAGGATGATTCCATGTTTTCTGTTTGCGTTGGGAGTTGCTGTCCTGATTCTGGTGTTGTGACTCTCGTCAGGATAATAAGCCTCTTGACCTGATATCTGTTCACTCTAACTGCTAAAATACTGGAATGCATCTAATGTACTTTAAGTTTCCTGGTCAGCATGAAAGTTGGACAAACAATCTTCTCTGTTAATTGTATTTTTATTATTATTTTACATGACGTGAGATGATTTAAGACTTTTCTTTTTGTTGTGATTTTAGTATTTTTCAATTAAACAATCATCTGGTGACGACTCTTCCTGTTCAGCTTTAAAGTTTATGATATGCATTTATTCATTTTTTTCAATGCAGACCTATGTGATAATTTACAAGTGTCTTCTTCATGGTTCAGGGGCCTGGATGTTGTGATGGGAGTAGACCAGCGGGAGGCAGCAGCTGCTCACATCAACAAAATCCAGGACTCTTTGCAGCATGAAGAACAATAATGTGTTGCTCAATGATCATCGCATGACACAAATCAAAAAACAACACAGCCGAATATTATATCAATATATATTGTATCTATATATCAATATTGAATTTTTTTATAAACAACCTTCACTAATGAGTAAAAATCAAACTATAAACTTATCAGAAATAATAATGTACTATTTGAGATGGGATTCGGTACGGTTAGGTAAAATAAGATAATCCATTATTTGCTGTATTCGGACAGTCACGTTTTTATAAAACATGCAATATAGAACTGCAAGGAAATATAGAAATTTAGATGGAATAGATAAAATATACAACAGAACATAAACAGTGTTATTGAATTGTTGATAACAACTGACATGAATATTTTATCTTGATATGAGCTTTGATCTATTCATCCAGCTCAATTTATTAGAATGTTCTCCAACATTAGCTGCCTGACATCCCGCCTCCATGACTATCACTTTCTGTTCGTTGACACGTCATCCTAGAAGAGAAGTCGCAGCTATTTTAAATGTGACTCATAATGAACCCAACCTCAAGGTAACTGTAGGTCACTCTCAGCCTTGTACAAAAAAAGTTCGTGAAACAAACTCAGTTTTAAAAGAACTGAAACATGTGACAGAAATTTAAACATTGTAATCAGAGAATGCAGCACAATAATAGTACATTTTAGGCTTTGATTTTTTTATACCACTGTGACGGTAACTAATGGTAACAAATCACTGATGTGTCACTGACATCACGTGGCTTCAGTAAAGAATCAACAGTTTACATGAATCTTTAATAGTTTTAAAATTATGTCCAAACAAACATGACAGAGTCAGTGCAGAATTTAAGCAACTTTTGGTTCTTGGTGGAGGAATGAGTTCTACTGAGAGACATTTTTTAAAAAGGTTTTCATTAAAACTTGTTATTTAAATATAGTTTTATACCGATATAGATGCTCTTAACAGTAGTACAATCTAAATAAATATATATCATTCAACATTCATCTTTCTGTTTTACCCCTGATATGACCACATGTTCTACTGTGTGTTCATTAAAATTGAAGATACTCGATTTAGATTTTGGTGGCCTGTAAAGATCAGGTCTGATCCAGGAGGAACTCTCTGTTTCCTCTTCGTATGTTCTGTGAACCTCCTCCTCCAGAGTAAAAGCACGGACAGAGGGGATTTTTGGCACGCCACTGTTTTTTTAGAGAATAATATGAATCTTCAGTTGACTTGTCAAACACTTCATGTGGTTTGTTTGTGTCACATGAAGTCCAGCGTTCCTTCTCTTTTTACTCTGTGTTTGGTCTCCTCCACCTCCATTTGACTGTTCAGCTGCTAAATGCTAAAATATGTAGTGTATCTTGTGACTAGAATAAAAGGGGATGTCCTGGTTGAACCAGGCTGGTTAAAGTCCACATTGTTCAGTTCCATTATGTTTCCAGAAGCATACAGCAAGGACTAAACCATGTTTGTAGGGCCCACCTCCCCTATGGGGYCGTGGGAAGTCAGTTCCACTTGGCCCCCCCACTGCTACACCTCTGGGGCCAACACCACACTTCTAAAGCCTGCTTCTGCGTCACGTCGACGGCGTCACGTCGTTGAGCATTCGGAGTTCTGCGTCGAGGGAACGTGTTGCTCTGCAATTCACCGCCATGCTGCTAGGGGGGTGTGGCTGTGTGTTTGTGTGGTTTTGACTGGGCATTTTAGTGTTTCATGGCTCAGGTTGACCAAATTAAAAAAAACATTACTTGGTGGTATCAGTAATTACCGCCCTATTATCAGTTTTCCAGCAGAACATGTGAACATTCATGAGTAAAGTGCTCGGACACTTTTCACACCTTTATGTTTTCTGCCTTGACAGCAACATGTTKGTACGACACACATGTTGTGCATTTGTTCCGCAACTTATCACTGATTAAGAAGACAACACCAATAATAAGTAACATGCCAGAAACTTTCCCACCACCAAGAGTCCAACAAGTTTATTACCATCCTCCTTTCCTCCACCATTGTCTCCTCCATTCTGGTTTTCATCAGCGGACCTCAGAGGAGCTGAGTGACCTGCAGAGCAGAACCAGATGTCAGGAAGGCGAGGACAGAACACTCTCTACCATCCCACCTGAGTTTGGACTCTACCACCTCACCTGAGTCTGTGACAATCAGGCTGACATGGCTGCTGTACTCGGTGGTTATTATTTCATCATTCCCTGTTTTGCTGCTGGTTATTCGACAGTTGTACGTTCCAGCATCACTGACGTTGACATTCTTCACAGTCACAGACACGTCTCCGTCCTTCATCTCTGGATCTTTCAGCTCCACTCGACCGCGAAAAGACGGATGCTGGTAATTTTCGTACAATCGATTGTTTCGGTAGAAGAACACGTAACCATCTGACTCTGACTCAGGTCTGAACCACTCTAATAGTGTGATGGCAGGATGGCTCGGACAGAGATACTTAAGAGTGGCATCATCTCCAGGCTTCACTGTTGTCACCTGCTGACCTACACAAACACACAAAGAACACATAGAAAAAAATTATTGTTCTGAAGTAAACCTCTGTGTGGCAGCAAAGCTTCAGTCTTCAGAACCTAAAGGAAACGCACACAGGAAGTCGTTGGTGTACACAGTGATATGTCATCACACTTCTATACTAAAGAATTCCACAATAAGTCAAACTGAAAGTGTAACTAACAAAGTCTCCTCTGAGAGTTGAGGATTGAATTTTAGGTTCACTTTTTTTTTCACTTTATTTGCTTCTTCTTGGCTCTTTCTTTCGAAACGATCAGATTTCTTACCAGTCATGCTCAGTTTTACAAATGATAACACATTCGCAGTTACGCTGCTTCTAGACCTTCACTGACATTCTGCAGGGGTGACGTATGTGACAACGCAAATGTCCGAGTGGGAGCCTCCAGATACCTGCAGAGTTTCTCCATCCGGCCCGAAGGTCCGAATGAGCCGATGGGAGAACAGGGGATGCGGCGTGTAGGGGTCGCTGGGAAAAAGCAGGAAGAAGGTGTTAATTTTGTTGTGGGAATTGCTGCTACAATTGTCAGGGGCCACTGCTGTATGTGTGCAGTTCTTAATACAATATTCATAAAGTATTTCTACAGCATTTCTACCATATCTGTACAGTAATAGTACTGGAATTATTTGTATTGTTCTTTTACCACTCCATGTTAGATCTGCCCCCTCTCTCTTTTCTCTTTGGCCTTTTCCAGTTAAGAATGTTTTTATCCCAGCAGATTTTATTTTATTTTGATATATTACATTTTCTTGTTTTCTTATTGTACCTTTTACTTTGTAAAGCACTTTGGCCAACTAAGTTTTTTAAATGTTCTGTATAAATAGAGTTGACATCGACATTTTGTTTTGTAAATTGGAAGCCACTTCCACAGGTGGAACAGAAACTTTTTATTACCATTACTTCATACATGTTTTTAATACCTAACACCAAAGACAATAAAGAGAATCCTATAAAGTAACATTTGAAGTGTGAGAGTGATTTCATCTAAAATGAAACCTCTTGTTTATCCAATAACGGAAACAGTCACAAACATTTTAAGGCTCATTTATTCGGCATTTCTACGTAGAGAAACAGTTAGTGTATAACACAGTGGGTGTATTTTGTCTACACCACAAACTGTTTGAGCTAAAAAAAAAGTGGTCACGTTGAAGATACACGTGCAAAACTGTGGAGGAGTAGCCTCTGAGGAGAGGGAGGTGCTGGTTTCAAATGTCAACAGCCTCAACCTCTGATCTAATCTTTCACCATAACCCTGTTTTTCTCATGTCCTCATTTCTGCAAACTGATCTGAGTGGAGTTAACCCCTCCCACTGACACTCTGTTTGCAAGTTCAACAGACTCTCTTGTTCTTGCAGTAGAAGCAGCTACGAGTGGGAAAAGTTTACTTTGAAAGTTTTACAGTTACACTTTTATAATATTTGATTTTCAGAGGAGTGAGTGAGAGACACCCATCTTATGTAGACAGAGAGGTGGAGTCCAGCTGTCCTGAAGATCACTGACTCGTAACGTAGAACAAGACGCTTCATTAAACCTCCTAAAGGTCAGAGGTCAAACACGAAACAAATAAAAAGAACTGACCTGCAGCTGCAGAACAACAGAGGAGCAGGAGGGACGACAAATCCACAGGCAACATTTCGGACAGACTGAAAAACAAACTGCTCGGTGTGTGTGCGTGTGTCTCAGATAGGGAGGGAGAGGAGGGTGTGTGTGTGTGTGGGAGAGAGATAAGTACATCTCCCATAATGCTCTCTCTGTTTACACTGCTGGGGCGGGGTTTCCTGCATATGACCAATCACAGACATGGACAGTTTAACTGAAAGCAAAAAAATTATAAGTTACATAATAAAAATACAATCACATGATCCAGACTAAAAGAATAAAAACCAGTTACAGCTGCTAAATGCAGGAAGAACAGCTGGTGAAACCTCTGACTGTGTGAATGTGTAAGTTCCCTGCTGACATTTGGGAATAAAAATATATTGTGGCCCCGATATCTTTACTAACAAGACGTGTGGAACTGAAGCGAAGAAGCCTTTTGATGAGAGATGAAACTTTATCACTTAATCGGATGATGTAGCCTCTTTAATGAGCTTTAGTTAGACACACTCTTATAAACTGACTCTGAGGATTCACTGTGGCGGAAACCTTTGACATCACATAAATATATATATTAGGTACATGAGGATGCGTGCGGCTCATTTGGAAACAGAAAGGAGATTGAGATGTGTATTTATTTCTGGTGATGATACTGTGAACTATTTTAAATCCTCCCACAATCAAACCATAACAGCAGAATCTGGATTTTCACTTTTCCTGTCTGTGTGTGTGTGTGTGTGTGTTGGTTTAACGTACCTCAAAGCTTATATCTGGCTTACTTAACTGACACCAATGATTTTTTTTTTACACCTCAGAAAACCAAAGCCTGGAGATGGTTCAGCTGCTGTCTGCTCTTCCTCTCATATGTGACAATGGGCCCAACGTGCAAGGTGAAGCTGCTCTGTGAGTCAATATTTAATTAATTCTAATATTTTCAAAGCGGCAGAGGAGGGACAGAGACACAAGGCGTAAGATTTGTTTTATAAAACTTTATTCAATCACAAACTGAAGCTACAGAGAGTTAACGTTTACTGACTGATAGAGACAGAAACTGCTGTTTAAACAATTAATTCATTTAATTTCATCTGATCCGGAGCTTTAACAAAGATCAGGTTTTATTAAACGATGCACGTCAGAAGTTTTTAAAGACATTAACAGTCAACACGCCCGTTTCTGCACGACAGGATGTTTGTTTAAATGCATTGAAGGTTTTTTCTTTTTTTAAAATTCAACTTTTTATTGCCAGCCAGAAATTACACAGGCMMCAGACACMATGCTCATTCTTTTAGTTTTTGAACAACCGAAGGAAAAAGGGAAGACAAAGGAAAGAGATGAAAGTATAAAAAAAGGGGGGGGGGGGGAAAAAATAAATGAGTACATATATAAATAAAAATAAGTAAAATAAGTAAATGAACATTTATCATTTTCAAGTTTTCATCATCAGAAATCTTTCAGAACATTACTGGATGTTTATCACCAGAAGTTAAGAAGGAAATGAGGAACAACACACGTTCATAAAATTCAATGATGCTTCTTTACAACACCAGAAACTGAATAATAAGAATAATTATTATTATTATTATAATTATTAATGTATACATTAATATTTTATTATTTGTTTATATTAATTTGTATATAAAGTTATTATCATGATAATTTTTATCATGATTATAACTATAAAAAATTTTCATGGACACTAAATTCCTCATTTCAGATGCATAATAATCACAGCAGTTCTGTTAATATTATTATAATTGTTATTATATTTCTCCTCAGTGCTGATGTCATCGCTCTGCTGCAGCACGAACCAAGGTCAGTTCATAAAACTGTTTCTACATCGCAGCTTCTGGTGTTGAAATGAAATCATTACTGCTAATGATCTTTAAACGAAACATATTCTGATCATGTTCAGGTTGATAATTTGAATTAGTGTTGTGACTGTACAATATTTTCATGCTGTAATGTTGACTGTCCTCAGACTGTCCATTGCAGCTCCTCTTTCTAACACGTAACAGATGCAAAAAATCTGAATCTCCTGCTACGTTCTAAATATATAAAAGTCAACCAGACCCAATTTTATGAACATCCGCCTGAGTTCATGTCTAAAAACTTTAAAATTAGTGCTTTTAATTGATGCATTAAAACCCCAAAAGTCTGTGTTGCTGCACAACATGTGACACAGGAAAGTCGATCCAGGAAGTTACAGGTCTGAGTTTAGCGGTTTTTCACCCACGAACTCTGATACAATGATGGTTGTTCTATAAAAACAGACATGTTGCACCAGTGATTGGGTTTGAAATGATTATATCTTCCTTGCAGCTGTAATGACGGTGAGTCCTGGCACCTCTCAGTTCTTCAGAGGGACGTCCGTCTCTTTCAGCTGCAAGGACGACCACAGCTCAGCTGGATGGACGCTGAGGAGGAACACGAGCAAGGACACCAGGGCCGAGTGTAACGACTGGGGGCGACAAGCTGATTCTTCCTGTGTTATCGACGTTGTCGTCTCACCAGACAGTGGAGTTTACTGGTGTGAGTCCAGAGAGGGAGGAGCCAGTAATAACGTCAACGTCACTGTGACTGGTAAGAGGAGACTGTGGACTTCATTTATTCTGCCTTTATGTACAAAAGATATTTTCAGAGAACAACAAATGGTGGAGGAGGTTGTGATAATGTTGCTCAGGTGAAATAATGTCATATAGATGCCAGGAGTTTCTTACTGAATCGTTAAATCTCTCCTCAAAAGGTTCCGCCATTGTTGGAATTTCCTTTGTCCTTTGGTTGTGTTTTTGAAGGAAGCTGATCTATGGGTCTGAAGCCCATCGACCCTGAGGATTCGGAGCTCCGTAAGTTTAGGCTCTCAGAGGAAAACTGAAAGTAGACATTAGGGCATTAGGTCACGGCTCTGACCATCACTCTAAATTTGAGCTGGCACCTTTCTCTCTCTGTTACCAGACAGATGAGGAGGGCCAGTGTAAAGCCAGATGTGTTTTCTTCAGATTCACGAAAACAACTCTCCTATATAAACGAGGAGTTGAAGCTGTTAGGCAGAAGAGATTCACATTGGCCCCGAATCCCTCTCCAGGCAGACTGCAGTGCTTGTATTGATGCTGAACTTTTTGTAATGAACCTTTTATACAATCAAGACGGTGTCATCAGATATTTCTTCATCGTCTTCACATCATCGCTACCCCAATACACAACAGTTGTCTTGCTTTAACTATTCAGGAAGAGAATGTGGGCGTCTGCGTCATCGTTTCTGTTTCTGACCAGACTAAATCACAACCCCGGAATTTTCCCACCAAACTGAGACCAGCAGCGTTTACACGAGTCTCTGATTTAGAGGCTCTAAAACTCCACCAGGTGTAACCATAGCAACAGTGATGAGATTTAAAACTATAATGCAGCGTAGCCTTAGCGTTTGTGAAGTTGTGTGATTGGATGAAACACTGTCATCTATTTCCAGATGGTCCAGTGATCCTGCAGAGTCCTTTCCTCCCCGTGGCGGCAGGAGAGAATGTCGCTCTGCTCTGTAAAACTAAGACGCCTCCCTGCAACCTCTCGGCTGATTTTTATAAAGATGGCGCTTTTGTCAGGAAGTCGCTCACATGTGAGATGACCATCCACTACGTCTCCAAGTCTGACGAAGGAGCCTACAAGTGTAACATCGGAGACCTGGGAGAGTCTCCACCTGCCTGGATCAGAGTCACAGGTCAGGAGGTCAAGCTCCTTTAGCCAAGTTGATGTCCACGAATCATTTTTCAAATCCTTTCCATTTTGTTTTTCATTTCAGGGACAGCGACCACCACATCTCTTCCATCCCCCTCTGTTACCTTCATTATTGCATCCATCGCTGGTTTGGTATTTCTGGTTGTTCTGGCGCTACTGGTGAGACGATGTGTCCGGAGGCCACCTGAGGGTGAGAACCAGGATTAAAGGTTATATGTATGACACTCTCTGCCACTAGATGTCGCACTAACAGATATTAGTGCAATAGTGATTGTGGAGTGGAGCCCTGGTATCGAGGGATTGGCACTAATCACGATTCAGTGTCAGCTGTCAATCATGACAGCCTGTTTTCATATCATCAAATAACTAATTAAACCCAAACTGATCAGACACATGAACACTTGAACACATCAGTGTGAGAAGAACTAACTAAAATGACAGAAACCATATTTGACATTTATTTAAAATCTACTTTGATTTTTTAGTTTGGTCCATGTCACATATGCTGTGGAGGGGGAGGGGTTAATGACCTATACTGCTGTCAGCCACCAGGGAGCAGGGGCAGTTTGACACTCTATGTGTCCCTCTATCTTAGGTTTGATATTGAGGATGTATTTGTTACATGACTTTGTTTTTCTTGTGGTCAAAGTGATATGTTCCCCTCTTGTTTCCTGTTTCCTGATAGAAACTCAGTGTTAAGCAACTCTTGTATATTTCGTTCCAGAACGGATGTCTTACTTTCTACTGAGCAAAATTCACTTAATTTCTTATTTCTGTTTAAGAACAGACATAATGAGTAAAAATGTATTTGCTGTCATTAGAGACAGGAAACAAGTTGAGAGAGGGGGGGAATGACTCGTAGGGATTGGTCCAACCGGCCGAGAGCTGAACCTTGTGTCCATGTGTCACGTCCACCGACTCTTCAGCCATCGGGTCACTCTGAAATCATTGACTGCATCTTTACTTTGCAGAGTGTGATCCAGCAGACGACAGTCTTGAACCAGACGGGACATTGGGTACGTCTCGTCTTCTTTAACTGTTTTAAGTCATGTGGWCATCACTCGTCCTCTGGTGTCAAGAAWCCTCTTAATGCTGACGTGATGTTTTATTTCAGCAGCAGGTCACAGTTTTTATCATTGCCGCTGTTTTGTTTTGCAGAGAGAGAACGAGCTGCAGCGACACGAACGGACGACGTCAGATATGGACAAATAATGATCCGACCATTCAACAGCAGAGGTACAGCTGCTCCTTCCACAGCCTGAACAATCTGCACAGGATCCACTGATGCACTGGTTCTAGTTCTAGTTCTAGTTCTAGTTCTAGTTCTGGTTCTGGTTCTGGTCCTGGTCCTGGTCCTTGTGCTGGTCCTGACTCTGGTTCTAGTTTTAGTTCTGGTCTTGGTCCTGGTCCTGGTCCTTGTGCTGGTCCTGATTCTGGTTCTAGTTTTAGTTCTGGTCTTGGTGCTGGTGCTGGTCCTGGTCCTTGTGCTGGTCCTGATTCTGGTTCTAGTTTTAGTTCTGGTCTTGGTCCTGGTGTTGGTGCTGGTGCTGGTCCTGAATCTGATTCTAGTTCTTGTTCCAATTCTGGTCGTGGTCCTGTGTTGTTCTGATCCTGAAGCTTGTTCTGGTTCTGGTTCTTGTCCGATCATGGCCTTGGTTCTGGTYCTGGTCTTGGTCCTGGTTCTGGCTCTGGTCCTATATCAGATTCTGGCCCTGTATCTAGTAATGGTCCTGGTTCAAGTTCTGGTCTTGGTCCATGTTCTGCTTMTGATAGTGGTCCTACTTCATGTCCATGTCTGGATTCTGGTCCTTGTCCTAGATCTGGTCCAGGTTCTGGTACTGGTCTTGAACTAACTAAATAAATGAATAAAACATTTAATGCATGAAAACTAGTATTAAAAATAAATAATTGCACCAGACGATGTTTCAGTTATAATTTACTTCTGTATTTTTTTATATTACTCTTTTGATTTTACATTTATCGTTCACTCTGTTTGTGTTCAGAACATCCACCAGAGAAGGAGGTCATCTACTCGTCTCTGAGGTTCGACCAATGAAAACCTGCTGCTGCTTCACTGCCGCCATCTTTACTCCATCACAGGAGGCGTGTCCAGAGTCTAGACTTGCTTCAAAACACATTTCTGACGATGGCACCATTTTATKTACTTYTTTTCTTTATTGATAAAAAAGGATCAAGACTACACAAACCTTTTTTATTTAAAAAAAGAAAAAGATCGCTGCGTGAAAACATCTCATTGGAYTGATTAAACAGGAGAATGTAAACACAAACAACCAAACAACATGAGAGAGAACGTTAAGCTTAGAAGTGATGCTCGGTGGTGATGTCAGCGACAACATCGTGCTCCAATCCTTCGTCGTCCTCGCCAGGTGGAGGCTTTGTCAGGGAAACAGGCCGGGCGATTTCTGCAGTGTTAATTCATTTTATTAATGATCAGAAATCACCACGATATCCTTTTCTCAAGTTAAGTATTTTGTGATAAGGATTTGATTAATGTGATTCATTCATTGATTAATTAGTGAGTGCGTTACCTGTGGACCTCTGTCGGCMAACGAACACCAGGAGCAGCGTTGAGACAACGTATGGCAAGATGACCACGATGCGGATGATGACCAACGTGATGAGGGAGTGTTGGATGGATCCATCTGGAAAAAAAGCAGAAATTTAATTGAAAAAAGTCAGASACTGTGCAGCAGTGATCGTAAAGAGAAGCCGTAGTATCAAGTTATCGTCCATACACAGTCTCGACCAATCAGGAGTCAGTCTCAGCTATCAATCATGACGCCTCAGTCCATTTTCTATCATCAAATAACTAATTAAAACCAAACTGATCAGACACTTGAAGACTTCAGTGTGATAAGAACTACCTAAAGTAAATCCTCTGTTAATAGTTTTTTTGAGTTAAGGGTTAATAACAGGATATYGCACCTTGTTAAACCCAATGAGATAAATTGTAATTTGTGAATATGGGCTATATAAATAAAATGTGATTGATTGATCTTTGACAAACATTTATTTAACGTCTACTTAATTTTTAAAAATTTGGTCCATGTCCCATCTGCTAACATGAATGAGGTGGGGCCTGCCACTAGGGGGCGAACCACATGTTTCTGACTCAACTCACCTTTGACCCCACCTGTGACAAACAGCTGGGCAGGTGGAGACTCCTTGTCATTGATTTTGCACTTGTAGACTCCTTCATCAGACTTGGAGACGAAGTGTATGGTCATTTGGTGTGTGGGCGTCTCCCTCAGAAAAACGCCATTTTTATAAAAAACAGCTGGATGGTTGTCGGGAAAGGTCGTAATTATACAGAACAGAGTGACGTTCTCTTTYGCCGCCACTGGAAGGGCGGGACTCCGTAGAATCACTGGACCATCTGGAGAACAATAAGATTCTGTTGTTAGATGAAGGTCAAATGAAATGGAGACTCGAGTCCCCTCCTTGTGGTTGTTGCCTCCACCAATCAGTGCAGTTTTAGTCTACATACATGCACTTGAATAAGTTTACCCTCAAACACACGTTGGGTTAGGATAAGTCGGTCACTTTTTTATTCACATCGGTGAGTGGTCCTGTTGCTGCCATGTCTGTCCAATAAAAATCAGTTGAGCGGTGTGAGTGTTTTGTCGTAATGATATCGTAATAACCACAATAACAAGCGACCTTTTCCTGGTTACTGAGCTTATTACTTGTGTCCGTCAATCAGAGGCTCTAACAGACAAACAATCAACACAGAAGAACTGATGAACGAATCACGAACAAACATTTTTACATCTGCACAAATTTAATCAAAATATTTGTCAAATCTGACAGTTTTATCATCTTAGTGTGAATCCAACATAAAACTCATAAAAGGTCACGATGTAAGATGTGATTGATCCTCTTACTGTGAACTGTGATGTTGATGGAAGTGCTCCGCTGCCGTGCAGGCGACTCACACCAGTAGATGGCGGTGTCCGCCTCCTTGACTGWTTTTATGAGGCAGCCAGTGGGTGTGTGATTCCCCCAGTCTTCACAGTTGGACAAGCTCTCGCTTGTGGAAGTGGACCTCTTGATGGTCCATCCATGTGAGTGGCTGTAGTTTGCACAGTTGAGAGTCAGGTTTTCATACTYCTTCAGCTGTGACCAGTCGGGAGACACTGACAGAGACACTGGCCCCAAATCATCTGACAACAGACAAGACATTCCCTAAGTTTAAGCTTCTTCAGCTGCAGTTCAGCTACCGTCCACTAGTGAAAATGAGAGTACCATCAATTAGATTCACCTTTAATCAGCAGCCAGGCGAGTTGAGACTTTTCCTGGGCACTGACGTTACACTCGTAGGCTCCTTCATCTTGCTTGGAGAAGTTGTGGATGGTCATGTGACCTTTGGGCGTCTCCCTAATTTGGAAGCCATTTTTATTGAAAGTAGCCGGGAGGTTGCTGGGACCAGTCTTTTTTTTACAGAGCAGAGTGATGTTGTCTCCTGCCGCCACAGGGAGGACGGGACTTTGCAGGATCACTGAACCACCTGGAGACAGTCACTGATTGTCTTTAAATACTATACTTTATATACTGGTTATACAGTTGTATGTACAATTATATATATATATATAGTTATAGTTATTGATGTATCTCACTGGTGATGGTAATGTTGACAGGGTTGCTGCTGTGTCCCTGTTTTGATTGACACCAGTAAACTCCACTGTCCGACTGTTTCACTGTCTTCATGTAACAGGTGGAGGTCACCTGACTGCCCCAGCTCTCCCCACACTGGGACATCTTTAAACTGTGAAAACATAACAGTACATGTCATTTAGCTTTTGTCCAAAGAGAATATGCTCAACATCTATGAGGGGCCATTCAGGGTGCAGCATCTTGCCCAAGGACACTTCGRCRTGCAGAAGGGGAAGACTGGGATCGATCCGCTAACCTTCTGGTTGGCGGACCTTCAGACACAGTCGCCCATGAAGACACACATTAAAGTGTCAACCAGTGTGTGTTGTTGTGTGTTGGCTTTAAACTGACCCATCCGTTGTGTATCTCCACACGGTCCAATCATCAGAGTCCACGTGTTGACATTTCARTSTGATGTTCTYGTACTSAAAATACTSACKACTGTCAGAAGTGAGAGACGGCAAGGCTGAGAGGAGAAGAAGAAGAATGTTGTATATTGGGGTAGCGATGATGTGAAGATGATGAAGGAATCTCCRACGACACCGTCTTGATTGTATAAAAGGTTTATTACAAAAAGTTCAGCATCAATACAAGCACTGCAATCTGCCTGGAGAGAGATCCGGGGCCGATGTGAATCTCTTCTGCCTAACAGCTTCAACTCCTCGTTTATATAGGAGAGTTGTTTTCGTGWWTCTGAAGAAATCACATCTGGCTTTCCTCCAGCCTGTCAGGTAACAGGAAGGGAAAGACACCAGCTCAAATTTAGGGTGACAGTTAGAGGCGTGATCTAATGCCCTAATGTCTACATTCAGTTTTTCTCAGACAACCTCAACCTCCTCCGATTTTCTCAGGGCCTATGGGCATCAGACCCAGAGATCAACTTCCTTTAAAAAGAACACGATAAATGACATTTCAGACACCACAAGAAGAAGAAGAAGAGCAAGAAGAAGAAGAATCACGTGAACATGTATGATAATACTATAATACAATGTTTTTAATATGTATTCTTCAGTCTTTACTGTGTGAACTGTTTTATTGCTGTAATATCTTCAGATTTCAACAAATGAAACTGAATCACCACGGTGACACCAATATTGCTACGAAACAAGAAGCGAGCAGGTGAGTGAGTGACCTGACTTCCTGTCACATACAGACATGAAAGTTTAGATTTTAACATTAAATGTCAACATCCCAACATCACAACACACACACATGCATGCACATACATTACACACATATACACGCATGCACATACACACACACATGCATGCACATACACACACACACACATGCATGCATACACACACACAGCTTACCTCGATTGTCGGCAGACGTCTGGTTAATAAACGTCACTAAAACAAGAGTTTTAACACACACACATTAATATGTGTTTTTGATAAAATACTTTCACAATTTAAAAACAGTTTTGATTTTCTACTTGAGTTAAATCAAAATAAAGTTAGATTAGATTTTCTTCCAAGGTTAAATCAAAAATAAATTTTAGTTCCTGTGTGTTTGACACTTTCAGGTATTAATTATCATTTTTAAATGATGTTTTATTGAAGTTTTCTTTACTTACGGAGGAAGAGCAGCGTCGTCTTCATGTTGAATGTTCCTAATGACCAAYGAAACAAAAACCTTYCTAACCACAAAGCTGGTGGGAGGGGTAGCCAGAAGAGATGTGTCTTTAGTTTGCAGTGGAAGATGTGTCGACAGTAAAGTTGATAAATGTGTCACAGTTCATTATTTTCTGTTGTTCGCTAACTACCTCTACTTAATGTGAAGCCGTTGGTTAGCTTAGCTTAGCATAAAGACTGGAAACAGTCCCTGATGTTGACTGATAAATATGTTACCAATACAATTGTCTTGACTCACTTTTTATTTTTTTAACAAATACCACATCTATGAGTACATCTACAGATAACATATGTGTTTGCATAATTTAATAAATATTTACACAGCACATTAGTATATGCTACTATTATATATATGCAAATATAAAAGATGGACATATATTTAGAAATAAACACACATATACATATAGCATAAAGTGATATATTGATATTTGAAGACAAAGGTTTAGAACTTATGAAACAGTATGATGTGTATATATAAATGGATGTTTATACAATGAAAATATCTTCATGGTAATTGTTTATATGGTATAATGTGTTGTGGCCATGAATATTAACAAAATTATATATATTGCATTTATATACGTACTCTTGACTATGTTTGTGTTCACTCATTAAATTCTACACTGGTAAAAACAACAGGGTTAGAAATTCCTCTTTTCTTAAAAAAAACAACTTTATTTATAACAGAGGATTCTGTCAGTAAAACACTCAGTGCTGTGGTAAAGTTTCCTGTCAGAACAGAATCACACAATGTTTATTTCAATTTCATTAAGTTCGCATCAAACATTATTCAATTTAGGGGAAAAACACCTGTTACACACTGTTTCCACCCAGAGAGACTCCTCAAGTCTTCAGCGTTAATCAAACCTTCGTCTTTTCACAGAAACTGTTTACTTTTTCTAACCTTTAAATATTTTGGAATGTATTTTTTTGCTTTAATAAAATGTTATAAATGCATATGGGAAAAATATAGACTTAGTTTACAAAGGCCTTTTAGACACCCGCTTCGTACAAAGTGGACAAACAGTTTGTTACATGTTCGTCTACTACTCTTCTAATACTTCCACACGCAGCTTCTCAGAAGCTTTGATGTCGTGTTTGCTTCGCTCAGGATGGCGTTGCTTTCTAGCGTCCATTGTTTTCATAGCAAAACAATGTAACATTTGAAAAAAACGTGATTAACATTAAAAAATTTGAAAAAAAGTGTCTGAGGTCAAACATTAGCTTCTATTTTGATCGAATGCATGCTTGTATATGTGTTAATCCTCGTTATTCATTAACCCGTCAGCAGAGGGTGCAATAGGCGAAGCCTCCTCATTGCTTACCAGCACTTTAACCATCATGCTCCACATGATGAAGACCATGAGTCTTTTAATCTGGGTTCAACTCTGCACTGTGACTCCTCTGATGGACACGTCGTTGTTTTGAAGACGCAAAAGATTTGTTGCAATCGTTGCAGCCGTATGGTTTCTCTCCAGTATGATCACGTGTGTGAATTTTCAGATGATCTGCTCTGGTGAAACTGGCCCCACACTCATCGCAACTGAATGGTTTCTCTCCAGTGTGAACACGTTTGTGTGTTTTCAAGACGTCGGACCTGCTGAATGCTGCCCCACACTGGTCGCAGCTGTACGGTCGGTCTCCGCTGTGAATTCGTTTGTGGCTTTTCAGATCACCTGACCTGCTGAAGCTTTTCCCACACTGGTCGCAGCTGTACGGCTTCTCTCCGGTGTGGCTGCGTCGATGAGTTTGTAGCTGAGTTGAAGTCACAAAAGACTTCGTACATAGATCACAGTTGTACGGTTTCTCTCCACTGTGAAGACGGCGGTGGTTTATCAAATGACCCAGCGCCGTGAATGCCTTCCCACACTGGGTGCAGCTGTACAGTTTCTCCCCACTGTGCCTGCGTTTATGACCTTTCAGAGCGGTCGGCGTGGTGAAACATGCCCCACACTGCTCACAACTATAAGGTCTCTCACCAGTGTGGCTGCGCTTGTGGATTTTTAGACCATGTGACGTGCTGAACGCTGCCCCACACTGGCCGCAGCTATACGGCCGCTCCCCGGTGTGGATACGCTGGTGGATCTTTAGGTAACTGGACCTGGTGAAGCCTTTTCCACACTGTTCACACATGTACGGTTTGTCTCCAGTGTGGATGCGTTGGTGAGTTTTAAGTCTGTTTGACGTCAGAAAAGATTTTCCACACTCCTCACAGATGTGCAGTTTCTCTCCGCTATGAATCAGCTGATGGATTCTCGCAGTACTTAAAGCCCTGAACGTTTTCCCACACTCCTCACAGCTGTACGGTTTCTCACCGGTGTGACGACGGAGGTGAGTTTTTAAACCACTGGCGGTAGAGAACGAGCGTCCACACTGGTCGCAGCTGTGCGGTCTCTCTTCGGGGTGGACGTGCTGGTGAGTTTTTAAACCGCTGGAGTTTGTGAACGTGTCCTCACACTGGTTACAGCTGTACCGTCTCTCTCCACTGTGAACTGCGCGCAGGTGGATTTTTAAATGACCTGAAGACGTGAACGATTTCCTGCAGTCGTCACAGTTGTGCTTCTTCTGTTTGATGTGACAGACCTTTGTGCATCTCTGTTTCTATAGCAACACAAAGAGAGGGCGGGAGTTAGATGATGAGTTGTAATTTACATACAATGTTGATTTTAAATCATCCACACACACACACAGACACACACAGAAACACACACACACACACACACACACACACACTTCCTCAGTGGTCAACTGTTGAGCTACTGCTAATGCTAGCCAGCATGTGAGGCTTTTAGAAAACAACGACTGACTTTACTTCAGTCATTTATTTTTAAAATGACATTAATTAAATAAATCAACAAATTAATATGCAATTAATTTCACAGTCAACATATAAAGACGACCAGTGACTTTGTAAACGAAGACTCTGGTCACGTGATGACTCAAACTTCGCTCATCATGTGACTTTACATTTAATCCAAAACTACGTAACGGGAGAACCGATTCGGATCACACCGTTCCCACGCAAACCACGTTGAAACCGGATCCTCAGGACCTGAACACTGACCTGTAGACCGGGATCAGGCTCAGTTCTCCGCTGCTCCGGTTCCTGGTTCTCCTCCTCCTCCAGCCCGGTCTGCTCGGTGAAACCCGGGTCCTGGTTCTCCTCCTTGATCCCAATCTGGTCTATCAAACCCGGGTCCTGGTTCTCCTCCTCCAGCCCGGTCTGCTCGGTGAAACCCAGGTCCTGGTTCTCCTCCTTGATCACGATCTTGTATGGGTCCGGGTCCTGGTTCTCCTCCTCCAGCCCGGTCTGGTCGATGAATTCCTGGTCCTGGTTCTCCTCCTTCATCACAATCTCGTAGTGATCCGGGTCTATGAAGTCCGGCTCCTGGTTCTCCTCCTTCATCCCGAGATTGTCGGGATCGAGGTCGATGAAATCCGGGTCCTGGTTCTCCTCCTTCATCCCAGTCTTGTCGCAGACCTGGTCGGTGAGGTCCAGGTGGTGTCCCGGGTCCAGGAGAACCGGACTCGTCTTCTTCTTCCCCGTCAACGCGTCACTTCTCTCAGACTCTGTCCGCCATCTTGCTCCGTGTTTCCTCTGTCCCCACCCCCTAGTCGGAAGAGGGCCCGCCCCTTCCCTGCCTCTGATTGGTTTAACTCGATCCTCCTCCTGAACTCGAGCCAATCACCTCTCCTCATGCCCACACGTAAACCAATCAGAGGCAGGGGTAGAGCTGCGTCTACGTTTCAGAATTAAACCACCTTCACCACGTGTCACGTAAAAATACCAAAATATTTCGTTAGCGGGAAGTGGCTCGATGCCATGCTAACGTTAGCTGTTGTCTAATAGTCACTAATGGTGGGGAAGGGGAAGTCACGTGTTTCATTAAATGTTTTCACTTGTCAGAAACACATTGGTTGTAGTTAATCTGTTGGTCCACAAGGTGGAGCCAAGTGGACTGATATTGTTAGTTTCTTAAAAGTGTGTGTAAGGGTGTGAACTGAACTGACACACACACACACACACACACACACACACATACACACACACACACACACACACTTAACTTGAGCTGCTCTGTTTAACAGGCATTGATAGGCTTATTAGGAATTACTCTTCTGTGTGTGTGTGTGTGTGTGTGTGTGTGTTTGCGTGTGTGTGCGTGTGTGAAAGAGAGAGAGACAGGACAGTATCATCCATCGTATAATCTCTTTATCCCCCTCAGGGTGACAGAGGAGACTCCCCGCTGGATCCTCCACACCTTCACTCCATCCATCCCTCGCTTTTCTCTTCTTTTCTCTCCAGAATTCTAACTTTAAAAGGATTTAAACCGCCTGTGTGTGTTTGTGTGTGTAGAGGGGTTACTCCTCTGTTTCCACAGTGATGAGTTTGACAGGGAGTTGGTGGATCTAGGCCACGTAACCGAGGGCAACGGATTATCAGTTGACAGGTGAGCAAGGAGATAATGTGGGGATGGTATGGGGCGAAATATTATACAAGGATGCAATGTTTATTATTATTTTAATTCTTATTAATACATAGGGGAGATAAATGTATGAACTCATCATCAGTCGATAACAACAACAAACTTTATTAATGTAAATGTCTATAGCTGTGGTGTCAGATTTAAAGTTCCCTTCTTAAGTTAAAGTTGGATACAAAGAACTAACTGGTTTATGAATTATTGATTAAAGGTCTTTAGAACTCCATTTGTCCACTAGGTGGCGACACAGAAAATACATTGAATGCTCTAAAATACAGTGAAATACTTTAAAAAAATGTTACTCAAGAAAATTTGATTAACTTCTTTTTATTGATTTTCTCAGCAAACTGTTTTTCCCTTTCACTTGCAGCACCTTGCCAGTAGGTGGTGACATCATTCCCACCATGTGATCATAGATTATTTTTTGCTCTATTTTTTTGCTCTATACTAGTTTCGACCCTAGTTTGGGCTGGAATCTGTAGAATCACGTTCTTTTCTCTGTCTGCAGGTAGAGGAAACAAGCCGCCATGGCTAAAGTAGCTCCATCAGTCCCGTCCCCCACTTCTAGGTTAACTCCGCCTATCATCCTTCTACAAGACATGGAGGAGGAGCCTGGTGGCGTCAGGGAGGGCGACAGGTGAGTTGTCTTGAAAACAACAGCTGCTGAAGTTAGGGGATATTTAGACAACTCAACATTCAAGAGGTTCATTGTGACCAATTATTGTTACTTAACCTTTACTGAGCAACAGCGCCCTCTGCAGCCACAGTTGGTGATTGATTCTGTTGGTTGTCTGAACATCTGAACAACATGAATATCGCTGGACATTATCATGATCCTCTGCTTCCTGAAGCAGAAGAGCTGCGGCTGTACAAATCCACCAAACTCTGTCTAGAATTCTTCATATTTTAAAAGTTTCCTGTTGAATATTGGAGATAAACTCTGGTTTTTAATAACTTCGCAGTCTTTTTAACTGATCAACAGTTAGTTTCACTCTTCTGACAGTTGAAGCTATGACTCTCAGTCAGTTCTTCTCACAGGAGATTGAACCCACTCACCAAAGTTACATAGAACAGAAGTTTAGGGTGGAGAGTGGGAATGAAAGAGAAAACATTCTCCTTATTCACTGAACAATCAAACTAATATTAATCAAGCTGCTGATTTACAACAGAAACATTGTATAGTATTGATTTAAGGGTCATTAATCCCAGAGTCAGTTCTGTGTCAGTGAGATTGTTCCAGATTTTTGGTTTTTGGTCAAAGAGAAAAACTTGAGCTTTTAAATTCTATCAACTGATTCCAAGTCAGGTTCTCGTTCCTCTTTGTTTCAGAGCTGCTCAAAGAGCCGGACCAGGAGTTTTATTCAACGTCAACAACAGCAACAACAATGAAGAGGAGTATGACACACAGAAACACACACACACATACATATAAATTATGTGCAAGTATTTATACATTTATAAGTTGATCTCTGTGATGTGTTTCCTGTTGTCTTCCAGAGAGGAAAAGAAGAAAAGGAAGAAAGAAAAGAAAGAGAGGAAAGAGAAGAAGGAGTGAGTTTGGTCACAAGATGACAAGAAATTAGAAAGATGTCTTAAATCTGTGAAATACTGGATTTAAGAAACGTCTGTGTTCTGTTGAAGTTCAGTTTGAAGCACTGATGCTGATGATGTGAACATTTTGTGATGAACTCACAAACTGAAATCACAAAAATCACAAGAAGAAAACAATTCTGCTAAACTACAGGAAAACAACCCAACAGCCATCCAATTTTATTCCACTGAATCCGGTTTTCCTCTGTTTGTTTGTCATCTTCTCTGCCAGGAAGGAGAGGAAGGAGAAGAAAGAGAGGAAGGAGAAGAAAAAGAAAGAGAAAGAGGAGAAGGAAAAAGAGAAAGAGAAAGAAAAAGAGAAGGAAAAAGAGAAGAAGGCCCAAGAGGAGGCGTAGGTTTGGTTTATTTGGATCCAGTGAGAACCTTAACTATTAATAATAACAATGATAATGAATTAGTGTCTGTGTCCAGTCCCAAAGAGATCTCGGTGATTGACCCAGCGAGTAACACCTACTACCACTGGCTGTTTGTCATCACCATCCCTGTCATGTACAACTGGACCCTGATCATAGCCAGGTAACACACACTGGTCATTTGTCATTATTGTACTGGTTCCCACAATGTCAGCAGTCTACTGGTTTTCCCCCCAATAATAACAGTGGTCCTCCAGAATTAGTTTACCCAAGAAATCCCATTTCATTTAATTCTCACTGTAAACACTAACTGATATTCAGTGTGTGTGTGTGCGTGTGTGTGTGTGTGTGTGTTTCAGGGCGTGTTTTGAGGAGCTGCAGACGGACTACGTGTACTACTGGTTTCTGCTGGACTTCCTCGCTGACCTCACCTACATCGCCGACATGGTCTTCAGAACTAGAACCGGTCCGAGCACACTCTCACAAACACACGTGATATTTTCACTGATGCAGTTGCACAGATGTGACTGAAATCTGAGTTGTGCATCTGTTAGCCTGAGAACACTGTATATACCCCAATCACTTGGTAATAATAATAATTATAACAATATTTGTAATAATATTAGCATAGATTCTCTAATCTTATTGGTTGCCAAAGTGAATACATTACTATGCTAAATGACGATGACAATATTCCCACCATATGATCCCATTTGTGTATGTGATATTTCATCAATACTACCTTTACTGGAATCAACAGATAAGAACAACAAGGTTGATTTGTAATTTAAACCTGAAACTGTCTTCAAGCACAACCTTGTTTGTGCAGGTTACCTGGAGCAGGGTCTTCTGGTGAAGGACCAGCAGAAGCTTCGTGATCGGTACAAGAACAGTTTCCAGTTCAGACTGGACCTGATCTCCATGATTCCCACCGACATTCTGTACACCGTCTTCGGCCTCACCTACCCAGAGATCCGCCTTAATAAACTCTTTAGGTTCAACAGGTACACACACACAGAGACAAAGACAACCCCATACAAAGACACACACACACATACATTGTCATATGTGTTGTTTCAAGGTTGGTAACATATTGATTCTAAGCAGATACCATATTTACTGGGTTCACCATGTTATGGCTCCATCAAACTGAAGGCTTCAAAATGGCAGCTCACAAACCAATGGGTGACGTCACAGATTTGTTGGAGTTGTTAATGTTTGGAGACTCAATGCAGATTTTTTGTGTGTTTCAGGATGCTGGAGTTCTTCCAGAGGACAGAGACCAGGACTAACTACCCCAACGCTCTCCGAATCTCCAACCTTGTCATGTACATCGTCATCATCATCCACTGGAACGCCTGCCTTTACTACTCCTTCTCCAAGGCCATTGGTGAGTTCGCTGGTTTGAATCCTGCTTCTTTGGCAACTGAATAAAACCCTCAGACATCTTGTCTTGTCTGCTCCTCCAGGTTTTGGTTCTGACAGGTTTGTTTATCCCGACCCAAGTGATCCAGAGTTTGGTCGTCTGGTGAGGAAATACGCCTACAGTATGTACTGGTCAACACTAACGCTCACCACCATTGGAGAAACGCCACCCCCAGTGGAGAACTCTGAGTACTTCTTTGTTGTCACTGACTTCCTGGTGAGTGGGGCTTAAAGAACTGAATATTATTATTAATTTATGTCCAAGAATCTGATTTGGTCATTCTGTTCTATTCATCCAGGTGGGTGTGTTGATTTTTGCCACCATTGTCGGTAACGTTGGCTCAATGATCACCAACATGAACGCTGCCAGAGCCGATTTTCAGGCTCGCATCGATGCGATAAAACAGTACATGAGCTTCCGAAAGGTCAGTTTGTTACTTGGATAGTAAGCTGGCTGGTTGGTTGGGTGGCTGACTGACTGATTGGCTGGCTGCTAGTTTGCCTCTCTGGTTGGTTGGTTAGTTTCTTGTGTGGTTGGTTGTTTGGTAGGTTACTTTGTTTGTGGGTTGGCTGGCTGGTTGGTGGGTTGGTTGAGTGGCTGGTTGGTGGGTTGGTTGGTAGGCTGATTTGTTGGTTGTTTAAATAGACATTTAGCTGAGCAGTGAGGACAGATGTAAATTATTATTGTATAAAAAAGTATCCCCTCCCATCCAGGTAACAAAGGACCTGGAGAAGCGAGTGATCAAGTGGTTTGACTTCCTGTGGACCAATAAGAAGGCAGTGGATGAAAGGGAGGTGCTGAAGTACCTGCCTGACAAACTGAGAGCAGAGATCGCCATCAACGTCCACCTGGACACTCTGAAGAAGGTCTGCACACACTTGATCATACTCCTCATTAAAACCCAACTCAAATGAAGCCCCAGATTCAAGCGCCTTGTTTTTCCTGTCATCCAGGTTCGTATCTTTGCGGACTGCGAGGCTGGCCTGTTGGTGGAGCTGGTGCTGAAGCTGCAGCCTCAGGTCTACAGTCCAGGAGATTACATCTGTAAGAAGGGTGACATTGGCCGAGAGATGTATATCATCAAGGAGGGAAAACTTGCTGTTGTTGCCGATGACGGAATCAAGCAGTTTGTCGTTCTGAGTGATGGAAGCTACTTTGGCGAGATCAGCATCTTGGCTATCAAAGGTAGACTTAGCCATGTAATCAGATTGTTTTCTGAGAAGTCAACCAGTTATAAAGTTCCAAGGGTCCTGCATTCTCAGGCTTTTATATTCCCAGGTTCAAATGCTCCCAAGGTCCTATGTTCCAAGGTTCCCAGGATCCCAAGTTGTCAGAGTACTGAAGTTATTTCTGTAACAGTTTACAGTTAACAGAGATGCAGACCGTAAATGTGTGGCACATGGAACACCATTCATTGCAATTCAAGCAGTCTTTTGCGTTACATATATTTCAATGATGATACCATTTCTATTTAATATGCCCTAATAATGAGCCAATACAGAGCAGAGGAACATCTTTTTCAAAGTCCCATTATGTGATTTAAAAAGACTTTGCTCTTCTTCAACAGGAAGTAAAGCAGGAAACAGGAGGACAGCAAACATCAGGAGCATCGGTTACTCCGACCTCTTCTGTCTCTCCAAAGATGACCTGATGGAGGCACTGAAGGAGTATCCTGATGCTAAGGCTCTGCTGGAGGAGAAAGGAAGACAGATTCTGATGAAGGATGGACTGTTGGACTTGGAGGTACAGTCACATGATCTTGTAAGGACAAGAAATCTGATCTGTCGAATTTAAAGTCACAACTGATCTTGTCCTGCAGGTGGCAGCACAGGGCCCCGACCCCAAAGAGATCGAGGAGAAGGTGGAGAGGATGACGAGCACGCTGGACGTCCTGCAGACACGCTACGCTCGACTGCTGGCTGATCATGAAGCTACTCACAGCAAGCTCAAACACAGAGTCACCCGGCTGGAGAGGAAGCTGCCACCACGAGCCGACCAACCAGGTGACGCTCCGCCCCCTCCAACACCTGAGTAGAGCGGAGAAGAGGAAGGACCGGGATGGTTGATTTTTTTAAACCTGACTTAGCCAAGCAGGTGGGGAGAAGAAGACATGACAACAAAAGTTTTTTCCCATAAGAACTGAATTCAGCTAGTTCAAAATAAAAACTACAAAACAAAAAAATGGAATAAAAGCAATATCAGTTTTAAATTCTGGCCCTTACAATCAAATTTACGTTTCATCCAGAAGTTGAGGAAAAGAAAACCAACTCTCTTTCTGATTCATGTGACAAACTTGAAGAAGATGTCATGTTAATAATGGAAACACACTGACTCTGGATCAGTGGAGCGTCAATGAACAAACATTCTCCAGAATACATGAGAGAAAGAGTGCGAGTGAGAATGCAAGTAAATTATTAAACTGCAAACATTCTAAGGTGCAGGAAATATTTTCTGTATCAAGCTGAGCTTGTTCATAGTTTTAATTTCACAGCAGCATGAGTCTATCTGAGCTTTAAATTATAGATATAATCATGTAAATATAATAATGTGATATAAGATAACACATCTTCAAGCATGTGTAGATCAGCTGCTTTAAAGCCAGTAGAGGTCAAAGGTCAGTGGAGGAGCTCGTCCATCCAGTTTGTTTTTCTACACTATGACTGATGCATGTTGTTGATATATGAAATATGAATCAGAATAATATCACTGCGCTGAAATAAAGAGATTTTATAAATAAAAACTGAACTATTTCTCTTTTGTTTTGAAAACATAAAAAAAAAATCATGTATCTACTTATTTATCTCTATTTATTTATAACACTTGTAAAACATTGTACCAACAGGTGGAGTAGTTTAGTCTGATTCTTTTATTGAGTCAACATTGATTCCAGGTGGTACATTCCCTTTGTTCTAATAATAATCAGCATCATAATTATTAGACTGTCATATGATTTTATCAGCTGTAAAATAAAAGTTATTTTATTTTCTGAAGATGTACTATGTTGACAAATTCCAATACACTGCTTTAAAATCAAATCAAATAGACAATAACATTAAACGAAATTGAAACATAAAATTATATTTATAGAATAAAATAATTTTCATAAATTAAATAACAGATCTATAAAAAACGTAATAACATTTTAACAATATTTTCTTAAAATATAATATAATAAATCGTAATTAAAATGTAATTAAGAAATAGACAAAAATTCAAATAAAATTATATTTTTAGAACACAACAAAGAGTTTTAAAAATAAACAAAATGCTTCGTAATAAAATTGAAAAAAAGAAATCAAAACAATTAAACAAGAAAAACAATATGAAGGATAATTTCAATTAAATGAATAAAACAACATCTAAATAATGCAAAAATAAAATAAAATAAAAAAACATTTCATAAAAGTAACCGGAAAAATTATATTCACAAATTAAATCAAAGACATTTTAAAAAACTTTTCCTGTGGTCGTCGTTGACACGTCTCCCTTCCTGTGTCGCTGTGCGCGCTGGGACTTGTAGTTTCATATCCACACGTATACCACAGACTGATGGAAACTTGGCGCGGCCGTTCAGACTACAACTACCGGCATTCACCGCGCGTCGCTTAGCATATGACGTCAGTGGCGCTGCAGCAGCTGAGGCGTGTTTCAGTCGCTTCATTTAAAGTCTCACGTCGTCTTCTCTTCCTCTCTTCCTCTTCCTCTCTTTCTCTCTTTCTCTTCCTCTCTTTCTCTTCCTCTCTCACTCTTTCAGAATCGTTCACTTTATGCGTCATTAGCCGCTGTGCACCGGATGTGACGTGTGTTTGCGACAATCTTCACTCAACTTTATTGACAGTTAGCTCGTCGCAGCTAACCGGCTAACTTGCGCTGACGTGACGGGAGAAGCTCCGAGCTCAGGTGAGGATGTGGATCCTCAACGTAAAAACAAAACAACAACAACAACTCGGTGAACTCTGCGTCTGTTACTGACGAGAGCCACACAGGAAACAGGAACATGTCGGATTTATTATTGATGTGATGAACTTAACAACACTAATGATCGGTGAATGAAGTTCTTCGCCGAGCAGGAGCCAGGTCTGCCGGGAACGTTCGTTCAGTCACCGATCAGCTCGATATCAGATCTGAGATCAGCTGCTCTGTGTCTAGGGTTCAGGAGGCGGTTGCCATGGAGCCGGCCTGGCGTCAGCAGGGCCGGGGCCGAGGCCGCAGCCAGGAGGGTCAGGGTGAAAGGTCCCGACCTCCGCTGACGGAGAGGCCGGGAGCCGCCGCAGGAGCGTGGGCAGCGGGGCGAGGAGGGAGGACGAAGAGGGCCGCGGCTCCTGAGCCTCCACGAGGTGAGGACACGCTCGTTGTGACGTCACAGCTGATTATTGATTATTGGTGTGTGTGCTGATGTTTCCAACTTCTCCTCTCTGACAGCAGAGTCCGTTCAGTCCAAGTTCGAGGAGATCAGGAAGTCCAACCAGGCTGCTGCTCAGCGACTGGTGGAGAGCCGCGTCAGCTCCTCCTCAGAGGACGATGACGATGAAGGAGATGTTGACCACAAGGATGGAAAGAGGGGCAAGATCCTGGCGTCGACCTTCACCACCTACACTGACCAGACAGGTGAGGCCAGACTAAACCCCGCCCTCAGCACGGCTCCTTCTCAGTTCTGTGATCAGTGGCTCTTCAGGCGTGATGATTGAAAAACAAATCAGCAGCAGCAGCAAAAAACGATCATATATTTTATTACATACCTTTTCAAATGTGGCTCATACTCAGCGTTACTCACAAGTAGTTCACAGTGTTTACTATTGCTCACAATAATAAACATACCCACTTTACTCAATGATAGTATTACGTTAGATACTCAAGATACTCAAGATACTCGTAATACTTATTGTTTTACTCATGATCACTCATACTGTACTCGCCGTTACTCAAGATACTCACTGTTGCTCACAGCACTCACCATTGTTCATGATGCACATGATACTCTCAGTAACTCTGTTATTTAGAGTAATCACGATACTCACCAGTACTCGTGATACCCACGTTGCTCAACATTTCTCACGATACTCACTGATTCTCACCGATACTCAATGATACGCCTGATACTTGGTGATACTCCCGATACCCCTCCCTCCAAAACTATACTCGCCAATTCTCTGTTGCTCTCAATAATCACTGTTACTCACACTTTCACTTAATGATGCTCACAGTTACTCACTGACACTCTCCTGTGTGTTGTATCCAGGTGGCGATGGCTCAGGTCTTCTCAGGACTGGTCAGTACGTTAGTGACCTGTTTCAATCCGGAGCTCTCACCTGCCTCATCTGCATCGGCTCTGTCAAGAGGACACAGGCGGTTCGTTTCATATCTGTTGATCAGTTCCTCGATTAATCTGCTGAATGTTAGATTTACAAAATGTCAAATACAGTTTCCTGCAGTTTATGATGTCGTCTTTAAAAGTCAAATTTTACCACTAAGTTAAAATGCTACGGTACCAATGTGTCTCTGAAATGATCCAGAATCAGAATATCTAACCTGTCCCTCTGTGTGTGTCCAGGTGTGGAGCTGCTCCAGCTGTTTCTCCCTCTTCCACCTGCCCTGTATTCAGAAATGGGCCAGAGACTCAGCCTTCCTCGTCTCCTCCGTCACTGATGAAGACTTTGGTCAGAAGAAGCATCCCTGGCCCTGGTGAGGGAGACGCGTCTCGCTGAGAGACGTTTAACCTCAGAAAACACGTAAACTGTTTGTGGAGGAAAATAATCTCTAATCTGTCCTGATGTTTTCTCCACAGTCCAAAGTGTCGAGCTGAATATCCACCCAGCGCCACGCCCAACAGGCATGTATGACTCCTGAAGGCATCTTTTCTTCAGGACATGTGCAAGGTTGTGTTTACACTGTAACTGTGTTGTGTTCAGGTACATGTGTTACTGTGGGAAGCTGCAGGACCCCCCAGCTGACCCCTGGTTGGTCCCTCACTCCTGTGGCTCCATCTGTCAGAAGGAACTCAAACCCACCTGTGGACACACTTGTCTGCTGCTCTGTCACCCCGGTAACCACACACTTACCTGCTCGCGTCTTTATAGCCAGAATCAATTACGTATTACCAGTGCAGTCATGTTAGCTGTACCATGTCAGGGGTATAGTACTAGCTGTATGGTATTAACAGAACAGTATTGGTAGTACAGTGTTAGCTGTATTGTATTAGCAGTACAACAGATGTCATCATTACAGCTCTGTGAACTCTGACCTGGCTGAAGACCCAGGGGCATCATGGATCTGACTGTGTTTTCAGGTCCCTGCCCTCCGTGTCCAAAGATGGTGCCAGTTTCCTGTATGTGTGGCAAATCAAAGCCCCTCCCCCGTCGCTGTAGCAACAAGGTAGGTGTTTAAAGTGAACAGATGATGTCTTAGGGGGTTGAAACTGTGTCACACACGTGTTGTCAGGGTTAACCATGTGTTTCTCTCTCAGGCCTGGTCCTGTCAGCAGCAGTGTGGCAGGTTACTACCCTGTAAACAACACACCTGTACACAGCCCTGTCACACAGGTACACACACACTCACCTGTACAAAGCTACACATATATTCACACTCAGTGCAAAATCAATTACTGAGTGTGTTAGTGATAAAAAGAAATACATAAAGTGTGTGTGTGTGTGTGTGTGTGTGCGTGTGCGTGTGCGTGTGTGTGTGTCAGAGTGTTCTCCATGTCCTAGAGTCAGTGTTCAGAAGTGTATGTGTGGTAGAGAGAAGGCAGAGAGACCCTGTGCCAGCCCTGAGTGGAACTGTCAGCAGGTAAGACTTTTAATACTGTTAATACAGTATCACTGTGTTACTCTAGTACTAATAATACTATTCTAATGTAGTAATGTGAACCTGGATCTGCAGTTGGTATCTTCAGTGTTCGCTGTAAACATTTGACATCATGAATAATAATAATAATAATAAGGAAACAGTTATCTATAACAACAGAATAAACTTTATTTGTATCAAACCTCTCAAACAGAACATTGTTTTCTACTGTGTTCTACTTTTCTGCACCGGACCGGTGAGACATGTGACATGTGACAGTGTCGAGACCTTTTCTCTCACTCTCGCTCTCTCCGCTCCAGGTATGTGGTTCTGTCCTCTCCTGTGGGAATCACACCTGTGAGCTCTTGTGTCACGACAGAATCTGTCCTCCATGTCCCCGCTCCATCAGCAGATGCTGTCCCTGCGGCAAGACCAGTGAGGGGCCACACACACA